CTGTCTTCGAAAGAGAGCATCAGAGTTTCTGACTAGCGCACGTTTGCCTTTTGGCCGCGCCTCTTTTGGCCACGCCTCTCTAAGCTCTGCCGTATTACGAGCCTTTGATAGCTTCGCTAGCTAATTCGATATTTAGGGGCCAACTACTTAGAATTGTGTTAGGCTTTGGCTAAATCTCTTTAGTTAAGTTCTTATTGCTTATATTTTTTAATTCAAGCCCAAGTGGAGGCTTTATTGTACGTCCTGAGAAAGGAACCGACTGTCCACTTTTAGTTTGAGAAATATAGGGTAATTAACCCTTGTTGAGTGTTTCTGTTTCTGGACTTAAGCGATTATTCGCTTTGCAGTTCACTAGGTTCTTCCACAGTTAATAGATATAGTGGAGGAACATTACAAGGGATATCAAACGGAACATTTAAAACGCAAAACTTTTAGGTAAAATCCTTCTGCAAATACAATTTATTAATACAATAATTCGCCTAAAATTATGCGAATACAATAATTAATATAATATTAAATACAATATAATATTAAATATAATATTTATTGTATTTAATATTATATTAATTAATATTAAATACAATAATAATATAATATTAAATACAATAATTAATAATAATATTAAATACAATAATTCGCCTAAAATTATGCGAACAGGCTCTGTGGAATACTCCAACAATTCCGCCTGTGAAACAAGTCGATAAAATATTCAAGACATGCATAATTTTTATTCGTAGTCAGCAAACATTAAATTCGAGTTTCGTGATTATTCTTTAAAAATTTTAAGTACAAAGCCAGCAAATGCCTTCTAAATCTAAAACCGTTATTAATGTTTGAGTGAGCTGTTCTCTGCCATAACTCCAGCCGAAAACCCAGCATTAAGAAAAAAGATGAAAACAAAAGGCAAAATTAAATTGTCTCTTAGTGCTAGGTAGACAGGTCATTTTATTAAATCACGATTTTTTAAAAACACGGGCCTAGGCAATTTATTCCCATATTTATGGGAGGGGTTTGTGGCCATCTTTTCTCGCAGCTACGACGGCCATTTTCAGTAACTCACGATTAGGTAGGGGGACGTTTCCTGCGGCGCTGCTGCACACCAAGCACTTCCATACGTCAACATAGGAAGAAAGTAATGCCCACTTTAAAAAAGTAATAAAAAAAGGAGAGGTTTTTCTTTGTTTTGTTTTTGTTTAGATTTTAAAACGTGTTTGCGGGGTGAGCTTCTATTATTTATATCGAGCGAGTGGGGGAGTGTAGCATTTTGACATGGGTCACGGATTTACTGCCCCGTAGTTGGAATTTTTTTTCTTCCACCTCAAGTTCGATTTTTATGTGTTGTTGTTCTTCGCGAAGAAAGAAATTCTCATTACTGTGGAGTCTATCATCGAATGCAAAATCCAAGTTTGCCTCTTGCATCTCTGGCTGAAAATTCAAATATGACTAATCTAACTGTGTACAATAAAACATCTTTAAGATGTCACCTATATAGCACTTTTTCTCCTGCTTATCCCGTAACAGCTTTACAGACCAACGAGTGGACGAGCGAAAATACAAGTACTATTCCAGTCCCGACGAAAGGTGTTATGTGCGAGGATTTTTAGGTCATAAAAATATAATATTAACATGAGCCATTTTTATGACCTAAATATTCCTCCTCCTATTTCGTTAAGGAAGGCATCCATTTCGTTAAGCAAATGATTCTCGTATGCTTTGCCATAATCCAAATCCCTCTGGCCGGCTTTATACGGCCATGACGAGTTTTTGGTACTTGGTATATATTATCGGATAATTTAAGACATTTTGCTTTCTTACTTTCATTAATAACGTAAATGTTATCTTAATAAATGTAAGTTTGTGAAAATATAGATTAAAATAAGTAATTATGCAAATTAGCTAATAAATGCTGCTTAAATACAAGTTTTCACGACACACCCAAAAACCCAGAGGGGTATTCTAATCCAATCTAGTTCTTCAAATTATTTCAATTACTTCTCTTGCTATATTTTTACTTCCTTTCACGAAGTAAAAGAAGTATTGTAATCGCAAAAAAATTCCAGTATCATATTTCAGCGGAAATATCCACTTCGACCGCTTTCGAATCCATCTGAACGATATTTTTGCGTGACATCTGCACGTATGGACATAAAGAATGATTTTTTTTTTCCAAAACGGATTGTAAAATGGATTTAGAAGAGATTTTGTTTCGTTACATCTGTACGTACGTATGTATGTAACTCGCGTAACTCAAAAACGAGTAGCCTCAGTTGAAATTTTGTACATGGGACTGCTATAACATGCAGACATGCAGTTCTCTTTTTTGTTGCAATCGACCGCATCAGACGTATATAAATATATATATTCCTATTCTGTTACCCAGCCCGGTTAACTCAGTTTTTTTTTATTCTAATATGTTGGGAAATTGTGCATTTTGTTGCTTTAAAAGTGATTTAATTATGTTGTTCTTACGTTACAGCTTAAGGTTTTTATACATTTAGTTAATTGCTGCAATAGTTGAAGAATTATGAACAGTTTAAAAGTTGTTTAAGTGGTATCAAGTCTAACGAAGCCGCCATTTGTTTACGTTTAAAATTCTTAGTAAAATAATGAATTAAGTCACTTTGAGCATCAGGGTCAGTGCCTTTTTTGACGAGAGGGACGGAAAGCAAATTTGCATTTTTGTGCACCAAAAAATCTGTCTTCCTGTCCGATGGCCGAATAGCTTGCTTTTGCGTAGAAACTCTAATTTTAATTATATTGTTTTTAACTGTATTTGGTGTTTTATGTTTTTCTATGTTTTTACAATTTCTAATGAAGTTGTTTTGAGATTTTATATATTTTTGCCTTACGGCAATGTGAGAACTGAGGTGACTGAATGAGAATTACCTCCAATGAAATTCGAGGAAATAAGTTTAAATAAAATGCAGCAAAAAATATGTATAATTTAATAGGCCGTACAAGGAAGTCACGTGCGGCCACATCAGAATTTTTTTTTTTTTTTTGTTACTATTAAAGAGATTCCGAAGCTATTCGCCTAATATTTTTTCGAAGTCTCGACTCGAATTCCTTTGTTCTCCTTTTCAAGAATATCCTATGAAACGCTAGAAAGAATGAATTGAAAGAAGGAAGTGAAACTGTCAAATAATTTATACTTGAAATAAGACTCAAATTAAGGAAAATTAGGCAAAAGAGTGACCTTAGATTAGCTTAGAATTTCGTACTCAAAAGTATTCTAAATTGAGAATCCAGTAAAATCGGAGGGAGCTAACAAACTCGTATAATTCTTAGAAGTCTTTCTGCAAAGCTCAGAAACGAAGCGGGTCGGGTGCGGTCATTGTTTACGAAATGCAAACTCGTCATTTCTTTCACATTCCGCAGGCGCATATGGCGCAGTTTCGGTGGATCTTTGTCAATTTTCATGGTTGGGTTTTAGCCAAATTTCGCGGTGGACGGGATATGTTTCGTGGTAGACGGGATAACCTATTTCTCAAAACATTTATAGCAATAGACCTGAAAAATATGCACAAATTCCCATAGCAAACACAGTGGCATATTTTAAAAGAATATGTTCCTCGGGCGCGCTGAATATCATTAAAAGTTTGGCATTTTCAGAATACCAGATTGACAATTGGAAATCCAATCTCTCGGAATAGAAAAAAGGAACTACGTGCAATTACGGCCATTAATATGGGAAAGATCAAGTGGCGTAATTTGATTCTTTTAAAGATGCGTAACTGTAATGTTTATACAATCATTTGTAAATATTTCTTTCAAAAATGCTTAAGAAACTAACTTTTTCAAGCGTGTTATTATTAGCCACTTGCTTCTCATATCTCCTACTGTCCCCTCGGACAAAGTGATTCAATCTTAGATCTTTTCAGGGCCCACGTTGGAAAATTTATGGTGTCTTCTGTTAGATTTGAAAGTGTTTGGGTTGTTGTAACCTGTACTTTTGTAACCTCTGTAGGTTCTAATTATTAGGTGCCACCGACTTCCTTACACGCGTTATCATGATGGAAGTTACATATTCAGGTTTGTGCAGAAAAGAAATCAATAACATTGAACTTTAATGAATGAGTCAAACCGGCCAGGCTTAAATAACAATAATCACCGTAAATAATTGCTCGCGGATCCATCGTCTAGTTCTTTCAACCACATTTAGGCCAAGACTCGGACTGACGTTCTTTAGATAGCAGACAACTTCAGACGTCGACATCTGGCAATACTCCGGTTCCAGTTAACCCACTTATATTCCTACTCTCATCTCAAAAATCCCAATATATAGCACAGGGAGCCTAATACGATACCTAAGGGCCTGCTGGGAACCCGGTGCCTTGGAATCTCGGAGAAGGCATGTCATTGTCCCTCCCTTCGTAGGAGGCAACGGTGGCCCACCTTTATGTGCTTCCAATAAAGTGGCCACCATTTCCAGCCTCTTTGTAGTGGCCACCATTTCCAGCCTCTTTGTAGTAGCCACCATTTCCAGCCTCTTTGTAGTAGCCACCATTTCCAGCCTCTTTGTAGCAGCCACCATTTCCAGCCTCTTTGTAGCAGCCACCATTTCCAGCCTCTTTGTAGCAGCCACCATTTCCAGCCTCTTTGTAGCAGCCACCATTTCCAGCTTCTTTGTAGCAGCCACCATTTCCAGCCTCTTTGTAGCAGCCACCATTTCCAGCTTCTTTGTAGTGGCCACCATTTCCAGCCTCTTTGTAATAGCCACCATTTCCAGCCTCTTTGTAGCAGCCACCATTTCCAGCCTCTTTGTAGTGGCCACCATATCCAGCCTCTTTGTAGTAGCGACCATTTCCAGCCTCTTTGTAGCAGCCACCATTTCCAGCCTCTTTGTAGCAGCCACCATTTCCAGCCTCTTTGTAGCAGCCACCATTTCCAGCCTCTTTGTAGTAGCCACCATTTCCAGCCTCTTTGTAGTAGCCACCATTTCCAGCCTCTTTGTAGCAGCCACCATTTCCAGCCTATTTGTAGCAGCCACCATTTCCAGCCTATTTGTAGCAGCCACCATTTCCAGCCTCTTTGTAGCAGCCACCATTTCCAGCCTCTTTGTAGCAGCCACCATTTCCAGCCTCTTTGTAGCAGCCACCATTTCCAGCCTCTTTGTAGCAGCCACCATTTCCAGCCTCTTTGTAGCAGCCACCATTTCCAGCCTCTTTGTAGCAGCCACCATTTCCAGCTTCTTTGTAGCAGCCACCATTTCCAGCCTCTTTGTAGCAGCCACCATTTCCAGCTTCTTTGTAGTGGCCACCATTTCCAGCCTCTTTGTAATAGCCACCATTTCCAGCCTCTTTGTAGCAGCCACCATTTCCAGCCTCTTTGTAGTGGCCACCATATCCAGCCTCTTTGTAGTAGCGACCATTTCCAGCCTCTTTGTAGTAGCCACCATTTCCAGCCTCTTTGTAGCAGCCACCATTTCCAGCCTCTTTGTAGCAGCCACCATTTTCAGCCTCTTTGTAGTGGCCACCATTTCCAGCCTCTTTGTAATAGCCACCATTTCCAGCCTCTTTGTAGCAGCCACCATTTCCAGCCTCTTTGTAGTGGCCACCATATCCAGCCTCTTTGTAGTAGCGACCATTTCCAGCCTCTTTGTAGTAGCGACCATTTCCAGCCTCAGCCCACCATTTCCAGCCTCTTTGTAGCAGCCACCATTTCCACCTCTTTGTAGCCACCATTTCCAGCCTCTTTGTAGTGGCCACCATATCCAGCCTCTTTGTAGTAGCCACCATTTCCAGCCTCTTTGTAGTAGCCACCATTTCCAGCCTCTTTGTAGCAGCCCCATTTCCAGCCTCTTTGTAGCAGCCACCATTTCCAGCCTCTTTGTAGCAGCCCCATTCCAGCCTCTTTGTAGCCACCATTTCCAGCCTCTTGTAGCCCACCATTTCCCCAGCCTCTTTGTAGCAGCCACCATTTCCACCTCTTTGTAGCAGCCACCATTTTCCAGCCTCTTTGTAGCAGCCACCATTTCCAGCCACCTTTGTACAGAGCCCACCATTCCAGCCTCTTTGTAGCAGCCACCATTTCCAGCCTCTTTGTAGCAGCCACCATTTCCTCCAGCTTCTTTTGTAGTGGCCACCATTTCCAGCCTCTTTGTAGCCACCATTTCCAGCCTCTTTGTAGCAGCCACCATTTCCAGCCTCTTTGTAGTGGCCACCATATCCAGCCTCCAGCCTCTTTGTAGCGACCATTTCCAGCCTCTTTGTAGTAGCCACCATTTCCAGCCTCTTTGTAGTAGCCACCATTTTCCAGCCTCTTTGTAGCAGCCACCATTCCAGCCTCTTGTAGCCACCACCATTTCCAGCCTATTTGTAGCACCCATTTCCAGCCTCTTTGTAGTGGCCACCATTTCCAGCCTCTTTGTAGTGCAGCCTCTTTGTAGTGGCCAAGCCTAAGTTGGTTAAGTTCCCGCCAATTAAAAAATAACAGTCTGGAAGGAACGAGCTGCGTGACGAAATTAGAAGGGATAGTAAATATGCAAAGTAAGAACCCAACTCGCTAGTTAAAAAATAAGCTGAATTTTTGCCTACTATGTTCTAAAGAAAGTTTGAGCTCAATCGTGAACCTTCTTAAAATACTTTTAAAGATTTGTCTATTAATTAGGTATTAAATCACCTTCCAGTTAATAAGGAGTTTTTAAAACTTTTGAAAAAGCGTTGTTCGAAAAAGGTTGATATTTTGCCCTTGTAAAATTACTAACAACAAAACGTTACCTGTTCTGCTGCCTAGTAACATTTATCAACTTAAAAATTAAGTATTCGAAATAAATATTTTTCTCAGATTATTCAATATCCTTTTTGTATTTTAATACACTTTTAAGTAATAAAAAATCAATCGAGAGTATGATTTCATATTTATGAACCTGATTTTATGATCAGTTTTTTAAATTCCTTTCTTTTTTGTTAAATCTTTCGAAAGGTTATTTTGAAAAATACTCCACTGACGACGTTATGGCATTCGAAGAGTTTTTCACCGCATATTTTTTTATCGTCTGTGTTGTAATACATGGTGCCGTTTGACACGATTTGTGATGCAGAAAACATTTGTAATATTTTCAATAAAACAAATCCAGCCATCAGATCATTTAAAAATAAAGTCTTCGAATCATTTAGTTGCAATCTGATTTTCCTCACACCACTACCTAAGTTTTAACGAACATTAACACTGCGGTAAGAAAAAAGGATCTCTTGAGTTCGCTCAGAATAAATGAATATATATAAAAACTCTTGGCGGTTTAGAAAAAAAAATTAACTTGAAATTTATGCTCAAAAGATATTCCTTTTAAAGTATATATAAAGGACATAAAAGTGGCATCATATAAATCCTGAATTCATAATTCTCCTGTTGTCGATTCAAAATTGTCTTTGCCTCCACAAGCTGAGGATGAGTGGTAATTCGCCTCTTGCGGCTGCTCCTAGTGGGTGAACGATCTGGTTTTTCGAGATGCTGTCCTTTAAATTCCGTGTTTAAAATAGATACCAACCAGTTAATTTTTAAAAAATTCTTCAGGAAGTGTCCTATGGGTTGATATGCTTCAAATTACTGCCTGAGAAAAAAACTGCAGCACTGAAAAATGATAGGAAACGTATCGAATTTCGTACCTAAATTGATAATTAAGTACTTGGCAAATGATTTAATTTGCAAAAGTGTACAACTATAAGACATTTAGATATATATGCGGAGTATCAGTGAGAAGTGCGGTCACATTTCGAACAATATATTTTTGAACACGTAGTTGCATCGTACCAATGAGCACCCGAAATATGGCCTGTAGTATCACCACCATGTATTATTTATGACAATCCAGCGTTCATTTCCTTTTCGCGAAGAAAGCGATGTATCCTACGCCCAGTCATGTGCCAGAAGTGCTCAACTGGTGAGAGACAAAGTCTAACTAAAGGAGCATTCGCCACCTTGTAATGCATTCAGAATGGGCCAAGTAACGTGTGGCCGGGCGTTATCTTGTTGAAAAATAGCGTTTGTGATGTCCTGAAAATGCGGAAGGAGAAGAAGCTGCAGCGTACTATTAGCATAACGGTGTCCTGTAAATCTGCATGTAATGTGCACTAGAGATGAATGGCTGTTTAAAAGTTCCATCATTTCCGAACGACATGGATTGATGAGCTTTGTATCGTTCGAAAATAGTAGATATCTGCGCGGTGGCCTCTCGCCTCCATATTCTCTACGCCAATTATCATTTGTGAGGTAAAAGCAAAGTTGTTACTGAAGACTGCATTGTCCCAATCTGCACTCCAAAAACTCTGCTACGACACCACTATAAACATCGACGACGATGGCGCCCTATTAAAATCCTTTGTGAAGGATGGCTAGATAAATCTTCGTCTGGCAATGAGTGTGAAACTGTTGAAACTGGAATAGTTGAAACAACATATAAAATTGCAAAATGTCTTCAGTTGTGCACCGGGGAAGCGGCAATCGGTTCCGTCTCCCTGCTCTGAAACCCTACAGCGCTGTACATTTTCTTTCTGGATTCATTGTCACCAAATTCAGCCAACAAGTTAAACAATTTTAGTTTCCTCCGCGATACGACTTACACAACTGTGTACTGCAGTTAGCATTGTGTAATCAAAGATGCTTTTAAACATAGTATAGATTGAGAGAGAATATCAAATTAATGTTTGTCATGTCATTAGAGAAGCTGATGTTATACATATGCAAAAGGTGCTGAGTTTATATCTTTGAAGAATGCATATTGCTAGTAAATTGTGGTAATTTCAAAATGGGTATGGCAGTTCTTTTACTGAGTACCTGTGCATAAGTCATTATGTTGTTAGACATGATGACATGAGTAAGCATAGTATTGTACAGCGTTATTACAAAAGAAATCAGATGAGAGAAATAATAATAGTAATTTCAATAACTTAGGTGTTATAATAAATATGGTGGGCCAAATGTGATGATAGAAGTGTGTGGTCTAACAGAAAATATGGAATTAAAGTAACTTACCCCCAAAGGATGACATTTCAATTAATGTGAATTATGAAATTTATTATAATTTCATTATATCTTGAGAAATTTATTATATTTTGACATCGTGAAATTTTAAATTAATACTAGTATAAATCAAGAAAACATAGCCAGACAGAAGATAATATACCGCGAACATTTTGAGTCTTAACCTTTCGTGCAGGAAATGGGTAATATTCCAATCTAAGTAAATCTCAGTTCATCTTCGTTACACAAAGTTACATGATAAGAAAATTCAATTTTTATAACGAAGGAAATTGAGTTGACTGTTTATACCAATATATTTCCGGTTGTAGTGGTCAAACTCACTCTGTCATTGAGCGGTCGCAGTGAACAGACTTGATGTTGAATAAATGTGGAGGCTTGCCTGCACATTAGGTAACATGTTTAATAACTTAGCACAGTAAAAGATATCGTGATGAAATTTAAAGCAGTGTACATATAGATATGAAATTTCTTCCTAGCATTCATTGCGATGAAGTAAGTGGACATCGCCAAGTTGGCATGCCAAGTTCCTCTGTCAACAAAATGGTCATTTAGAGTGGCCATTTTATCAAAAGACGCTCTGTGCTTTTGAATTCAACAAAATGGAATTCTGGAAATTCAAAAAGGAATGTTTGGGAGTAAATAATGATTAAGCTTCATGAATTCCTTTCGAAGTAGGTAATTCATCTACGATGGTACAAGATATTTAAATTTATGGATTGTGTTCCTGTTGTTACTGATCCTAATTGGTTAGCCATTAAGCTAGACTAGATCCATGAGTCCAAGAACATTCAATAAATCCAAGACGAAGGTATATCTTTCCAACAGGTCTTCTTTAACAATTCCCGAACAGGTTAGAAGATGTTCAGGAGAGAAATGATCTGCATTATATTTCCTGCAGATGGGGTAGATGTTATTTCACCAGTCAAATTTAAGGCATTCCAGGCGAAAAGTTGCACGGATTGCTTGTGTCTTCGAAGATGCTGCATATCAGAAGAACAACTTAAACATATTTGCAGCGTCTTCTAACAAAATTCAAGTAAATAACTACAACGAGTTATGAATTTGAATTCCATCAAAAAAATTTGCTATTTAAAGCGCTAAAAGTAACTTCCATTGGACAATTTTGCGCTATAGTGTATTAAAAAGTAATTTCAACAAATTTCAATTACTGCTGCACGTGGAATGGCATGGTCTTTTTGTTTACTGAATTATGTTGTAGGGTTTATATTTATTTTAACTAACATTTATTTTAAGTTTAAACTATCTTTCCTGTCAAGCCTTACTTTCCCCTGGAACTGCCAATGCCAGAGTATGTAAATTTTAGTAGAACGCGCAAGGATTCAAATTATCAGCGGAAGTATTCTGATTTAAATAGAAAGGAAACGAGTTCGAGGTGTGATATTCTTACTTCACGAGCGCGGAGGTAGTTGGCCAGAAATTGAAGAACCCCGCGTTTGGTCCTGTGTGCTTGCCTAAAAGTAGTGTTACTCGTTTAAGTGATCTTCAAGTTTGCTGAATTAGCAGCGGTATTGTAAAACGCGGTGAGTTAGTTACTTTTAGAGAGCCTCGTAGTTAGAGTCTTGTCTTTAGTTTCTTTTCAGGTTATTATTTTTATTTGACCGCCGAGTTGGCACAGTTTGTGAGCGTCAAGAGCACGCACTTGTAATTTATTACGTTGAATAAAAAGGGACTTAAACCCTTAACAAGACTCTGTCTTTTATCCAGTTTTCACAGTCACCTCTTGGTTGCGTGCAAGTTGGAGGCGCGCAACGCTATAATGTGACAAACAATAATTGCTTACGTCAACGTACGGAACGCTGGAAAAATTTCCATATTATGATATCTTTCATTATGCATTTAAAAAAATTTTAAAGATTTATACTATTTTATTATAACCCAGTAATATAGAATACCATTTCTCAAGAAGGCTTTTGACATGTAGAATATGACAAGTCAAGCTAGAATACTACACACAAAGAAGAACGCAGCGTTTGCAAAGTAACGAAACATTTTTATAGTTTCATAAGCCACCAAACAATTATTTTAATACTGTCAACCTATATGTTTAGATCATGTTATTTTATCTAAAAGTTTAAAGATTATTTTCTTTCTAGTTATCTAATAAATCATAAACTCATTAACTTTTTTTGTGATAAAAATTCAGAGATTGGGGGGGGGGAATACTTTTCTACGCTAAGTTAGTTCACAAACTACATCAACAGTACTTTTCATGATAAAGTGCAAGGATCACTTTTTAAAAACTAAGGTT